TGAAACAATACTTGGAGAGTTTTTTTCATTCTTCAAGTACTATTTGGCTTACCAAATGAATCTATCAAGTCACTAGTTGGCTCAATACGCCACTGGTTTAAATAAAAGCTTCCACTATCAATCTAACAATTATAGAATATTGTATGCTTATAGAATATCTAGAGAAAGTTATTTAAAATTTCAAGCTATGCGAAATTTAGGTACATAAATAGATAATCACGAGAAGCATTGATAGTTATGTTTTTCTTACCGTTTATTTATTTTTTCACAATAAGTTTCTAGAACTTTTCTTGTGGATGTTAGATACATTCGATCTGTACTAATTCTAATATTGTCTAAATGTTGGTAGCACAAAATTAGAGAAAATCACCTTCATCAGAAAACATAGTTCAATTATATATCAATAATACGAAATATATTCACAAAATCTTCACGATTACCTGTTGGAATTTTTGTTTTATTGACAGAAGTATAATGTTCACTTTTCTTGTGAAAATTAGATCTATGCTGATTCTTGGTCAACGAACTAAATTTGTATCAAAAAATCCGTTCTTTCTCGATGAACAGGAGTTGACATCAGTATATCTCATTTAAAGTGGTACATCAGGTTTTCAGTTAATGGATTTCGTTGTCTGCTTATGAAGTACACAAGTGTACTGCAATAATACTAGCAGGGTGTGGGTGTGGGTGCAGCACGACCTTATTTGAACACTCACACCCACACCCACACCCTTCATTTAAAAACAGAAAAAAATGTTACTACTATGGTTTGTTCTTCTTGTTTATTGATTATCTAAGATGAATTATCATTTCATATTATATTTAAGGTTGATTGTTTAAATCGTTTATTTCGATTTGATGAAGCACAGAATTTAATTTATGAATATGAAAAATCAAATAAACCAAGTTTTTTCATGAATAGTTAGTAGTTTTGTATAAAATAATACTAATGTTTTAGTTATTTTTTTTACTTTTATTTTAGCATCGTTATTATCCGGTGCACGTAATAATCGAAATCGTAATCTATCTGAGATGATATATAGAAGAATGAAATTTTTATTTCCTGATGAAAAACAAGATCTTGTATCTGGAGTAGTTCTTCTTTCAAACATGTATGCATCGGTGGGAGAACATGAATTAGCAAAAAGTTTTCGATATAATCAAATGAAGGAATTAAGAACAAAGGTCAAAGTAGGATTCACATGGACGGAAGTGAAGGGCCAATTAGCGGTAATAATAATTCTTTATTAAATAAATAAAAAACAAAATATACATTATTTCATATAGGAATTCGCGGTTCATGATCGTTCACATCCAAAATCGTCACAAATTTTTGCTGAACTTGATCGTTTAACATCCGAATTAATTGCAAATGGCTATAAATGTGATGCTTCATGAGTAACTCGTCGATTAAAGGACGGAGAAACCATTTTGTCTGCGCTGTCTGGTCACAGTGAAAGAATCGCAATTGCGTATAATTTCGTTGAAGAACCAGATACAAAATGTATACAGTAACTAAAAATCTTCATATATGTGGTCATTGTCGTAAGTTGGCTTTTTTTATTCTTATTTCGATCATTCTCAAAAATATATGCTTTTCATTATTATTTAAGATGAAGTCACAAAAATGATAGCAAAAAAACGACAATGCCATATCATTGTGAATGATGCTAACCGTATACATCACTTTAATCCGAGTGGACATTGCAGTTGTCAAGATCATTTTTAAAGATTTTTGTAATAAACTTATTCTATAGATAAGTGTACCTGTTTAAAATTGTTGCCCTTTTTCTGATAGACTTTATTGATTAACACAAAGCAAAGCGAATTATTTAGTACTGAGTTGATCTATTGAAAAAAATCTTTCTTGTTTATTCTCTTGCTCGTTGCGAAAAGTCTAGCAAAAATAAGCTGTTTGCTTGTTTGCTTGTTTGTTTGTATGTTCGCACTGCACTGATTGATCTAACAATGGAGGTGTGTGTATTGATAATCAAAAGAATAGGACATATTCGGGTCAAATAAAAGCTCTCACCGAGAAACTAACAGGGTTAAAATATTAGCTGCCCATTGTAACGATCAATAATGGCCCTGACTGGGTTGATACGTAATGACAAACTGAATAGAGGTGGAGTAGCTTACCGCCACTCTCGGCAATGATGTTTATTCGCTTCTTCACATATCCAGAGTGTATCCATTG